TATATGAGTGAAATCATATGGTGTTTGCCTTTCTCTGACCAGCTTATTTCACTTACCATTACACTCTCCAGATCTATCCATGTCACAAATGGCAACATTTCATTCAATAAAAGGTGGCATTAAATGACTACTGGTAACACTGATTTTAACAAGCATCTTATAAATATTAGGATGAATTTTTCCTTTCCTTTTATTGCCTATGTACCATAAACTTTGGAAATTAAGCCCTATATAATTTGATGAATGTATATGAGGACTGTGAGAGAGGAAATAACAGAACACCAGAGTATCAAAATTCCACAAAGAAACAAAACAAAACCTCCCAGTGCATGGCAGCCATTCAATAATGAAGAAAATAAGAACTTGGGTCAAATTCTCTGTTTTATCCTACTATCAAGAGCTGTTTTTTGTGATTGTCATTTCAGTTGTACATGAGGTAGATGAATTAGATGTATGTGAAAGTGCCAGCATCATTAAAAATTACATTAATGTCATCTTCCTTCTAACCTCCTAATGCAGTTTCTGATGAGTCCTTCTCCTGAGGGAAAAACTCCTTCAAAAGACTTTGTTAATTGAATTTCTAGCATGTCAAAATGTTTCACACCGTAAAACCAAATAACCAAAGCAGTCTCATAGTAGAAGACTGAGTCTTGTATTTACAAAGCTTCTTGAACCACTCAAAAGGAAGCCAAAGTGTAATACAAACACAAGTCTACATTTATCATGAAATTCATTTTTTTAAATAAAAATAAAAATCTATTGAGCACTTCCTATATGCCAGGAACTGAACTGAAATTTTACATGTACCTACTTTAATGTTCACGAAAAACAATAAAATAGGTACTATTATTCTTACTATCCTCACAATTTTACAGATGAGAAGACAGTTTGAAATGTAAACTAATGCTTTCAGCATCATATGGATAGTGATAGGTAGAATCCAGATTTGAATCAAGGCTTATATGACTCCCAAGTTCATACCCCTTTACAATATAAGGCAATGCTGGTGGAGATGAGTCACTTGCTCACCCATTCCACTCACAAAACTCTTTAAATCTATTCTGTTATTTCTTTCTAAAACTACAGTTGTCCCTCAGGTAGGCATGAGAAACATACTTTTAGTCACCATCGTGCTGACACTTTATTTCCTGAGAGTCCCTTGCTATTGCTGCCCCTACTGCATAAAGTAATTGAAGGGGAAAATCTAGAAATTAGAATACTCCCTGAATTGAAATATCACAGAGGCCACTGTGATAACAGACTGAGGTTTCTGGATTCTGTGCTTGGAGACGTAGGATTTTTGTCCTACAAGGTCTGCCACTGTCTGGCTCTATCTGATTAATACTGCATTTCCTCAAGGTGAAGTGATCCACCAGGGAGACTGTAAAGGTCTGGGCATCACTATGTATTTCCAAATAGTAATCAACAAAATGATTTTGTTATTGATGAAAGATTATAATGTTGAGACATTTTGAAACTTGTGAGGCTTATGCAGATCCAATACTTACGTCTATGGTCTTTTGATTCACAAGCATTTTTCTAGTAAAGGACTTATAATATCAACTCCATTATACTGGCTGTAATAATTGGAGAGCAATGAGATCTTATGTGATGGTAAGATTCTCCCCAAGTTTACAAGTGTGCTGTACTAGAAAGAGTGCGGTTGGTGCTGGAAGACCTGGGGTTTGGTTCCAGTCGACATGATCTGCACAAACTATTGAAATTCTTTGAGTTAAATTTGCTAGTTAGTAAAATCAAGGAGAAAAAAAACCCCAGGGCTTTTGTGAAATAAGACACCAATTTGGAAATATTCTGTAAGCTGTAAATGTTAAATGATAACTGGCACTGTTCTGTTTAAATAGAAAATATGAGTTAGCATCTATTTACTATAATCTTCTAGAAAGCTTTTAGGACTTACCAAAATGTTATTTTATCAGTAAGTTTAGGAATTTGAATATCTTAACAGGAGTCTATTTTCATGCCTCTTTCAAATTAGAGTTTTTAAGATAAAAGAATTCTATTTCATCCTTGCTAAGAACATGAAGAGAATAAACAATTAGATCTTTAAAGAATGTTCTATAAATCTATAGCAAAATCACACTCTATTTCACTGTAGAATGCCTGACTACCGGATATAACCACAGTATTGGTCCAGTGAGTATCTGTGTTTAATAATTAAGATAATCACTAATTTCCACTGCTGTTTCTCTGCTACTTCTTCATAAGGCATGCACTATTGGTCTTTTAGTATTTCACTCTCATTGACCATGGACTCTAAATCATTATTTGTTGGTTATAGACCTTTACAATGCCCAGTGGCATTTGCCACTGATGACAACAATAACAGATGATATTGAGCCAAAGCTACTGGGAGAGAAGTGCAGAAAGTAAAATGATAATAAATAACTGTCATTCCATTACTAAACAGTGCCTGAAATTTGTTCTGTTGTATGTTCTATACAGCAGAGTCTGCATAATTCAAGAACCAAAAAAGCAGTTACTCTTTAGTAACAGCAGCAATCAAAAAAGTACCCAAATACATATCTTGTTCAGTGACCAGAAATTCCTCATGAAGCATGACATATTTTCAAAAAATTCTCAACAGAATCACTTCAACGTTTTATGATATCTTCCCAAATTGGGTGGTATCTGGGACTTGTGTCAAAAGATACACTCAGTCCAATGAATACAAACTTCAGGAATGCTGGATAGAGTACAGAGATAAAGTCTCAAATGGATATGAGATTGAACATAGAAATATATTCTAAGCACATAGATACAACTATGGAGACTATGGGACCTGATAAGGATGCAAGATGCCTAAGAGAAATCATAAAACATATGCAAGCATGATCATTTTGGTCAGGTGGTTTGGGTGAAGGACAGTTTGAACTGGCCTTCCATGAATGAAATCTCTGTAGCAATGAACTCACAAGACAGATATTCAATAAGAGGTTGTTATTTGAGTTAAATTGTCTGTACTTTACAATAATTACTCTTTAAAAGTTAAAAGTTGTATCCTTCCTACATTTCTCAGATGACTACAATATCCTTTATTCTTTCCTCTTTCATTTCATTAATGATGAATCAAGTTTATTGGAGTGTTGGTGGTTTGTTTGCTTGTTAGTAAAAGATTCATTCCACTAACTCTATGTTTTACATGAATTGATATGTGGTAATCACTAAAGTTCTTAGAAAATCCACTTACCAGACAAGTTCTATAAATCTGTGCCTCAGTGATATTAGTAAAACTGGAATAATGTATCAATATATCAAAGTTAATGTGATAATTAAACAGTTTATATACTGTGACTATCTTTTCTTGTTTTCTCCCAAATGCAGAGTCTAAGAATGTTAGGTAGCTTATTCTAGGATGAAATCTTGGGGAACAGAATTGGACACCTGGGAAGAATGGATAAGGAAAAAAAGGAGGGCAAATCCAAAGATATTTTATCAAGCTCGTCACTGGTAGTAGTGGGGCTTGATCTCCCTGGGAATCCTTTGAGTGCCTATGGAAAATGCAAAATAGTCCATCCAAGAAATATAAGAGTATTTGCCAAGGTTACGCTGTGGAGTGCTAATGCTTCACACAAGATTGTGCATGTATTAGAATATCTGAATAGCTTCCTGAGGGATTCCACACAGCAATTTCAGAGAAGCCTCAAGGCAGGAAGTGAATAAAATCTAAGTTATTCGCAGTTTATGCAGAGAGATTTACTAGAGCAGAGAATGGTCAAGTTAAACATAATGTTGTTCCCAGTAGATGTGATGGGTAGGGATCTATCTTGCCACTAGGTAGTAGTGAGGGTGTTTCCCAGGGGCATTCCAAATGAACCAGCCCATCAGGGAACTGTGCAGAGTGGAACACAAATCCAGAATACAGAGAAGTTTCAGGATGATTTCTACAAGGTTAGAAGCAGTGCCCTCTATGAAAGATTCTTTAGATCACAACCATGGAGATCATCAACTTCTTAACCTAAATTAGTCAGGTGGCCATATAGCTGGCCTGTTACCACAGCCAAGAACAAAAGTATAAATCAAAATAGTAGTAATAAGAAGTTTATTTTCTTAGCATATAATTGTAAAGTTTATAAAAACACTTTCATATGCATTACCTTCTTTGAGGTTATTGATAATGCTTTCAGAAGGTATGATATTATTTTTCTCATTTTTCAGATGAAGTACTTTGAAGTTTCTAAGTTTTAAGCCTTCACCAAGGCTTGATTGTATACATGTGACAATCCAGAATGGGAAACATGGCATGTTTATCCTAATCCCAGAATCCTAAAAGGTACCTTTATTTTAACAAAATTTCCTACTATTAATTACTTTGTAAGTCCTGACAACTACCCTCCACCTCCTGTGGCTCAGCAGCAACCTAAACGAAAGTATCTGAAAGTATCTGAAAGTATGAGCAAACTAGAATACCAGCAAAATTCATTTCTAATCCCATTGCCATTTGTTGATCTCTTCCCAAAGATGCCTACTAGATCTGAAGGTAACTTCTTTTAGATGCTGGGTGCTCCCCCGTTGGGGAGATGAGCTGGTTTCTAGAGAGCTGGGAAATAATCCAAATAATCAGCAGGGAGTGGAAGTTCAAGGAAACCAACATTTCTAAGAACACACAGGTGTCGTGACTAATATATATCAGTTCTAAGTAATCTGAACATTTGAAAACATAGAACTTTTGGGGTGCCTGGGTGGCTCAGTCAGTTAAGCGTTGACTTCACCTCAGGTCATGACCTCACAGTTTGTGGATTCCAGCCCCACCTCAGGCTCTGTACTGACAACTCAGAGCCTGGAGACTGCTTCGGATTCTGTGTGTGTCTCTCTCTGCCTCTCTCTCTCATGCTAAGCTCCCCGCCCTCCCGAATTCCAAGGCTCTTCTTCCTATGCTTCACAAAACCAGCCCCATATCCAGGAGTCCCACCAGTGAGCTCCTGCTTGATTGATAACAAGAGGGCACAGCATATATCTGTTTTCTCAGGGAAGTGACTTACCCTATCAGTTTTCCCTTCAGTCTGAATGCTGGTGTGACTGCACACCTCATGTTCCTCTTCCAAGTCAGAAACATCCTCCAGTTCCTCTGGGGTCTATAAAAAGGAAGCAAAGCATTGCTGGTGAGAATGTAAAATGGAAAACAGACTGACAATACCTCAAAAAGTAAGCACAGAGTTACCAATATGACCCTGCAATTCTACTCCTAGATATATACCCAAGAGAAATGAAAATACATGTCCACACAAAAACCTGTAAAAAACTGCTCGTAACAGTTCATAGCATACCAATCATAGTAGCCAAAAAGTGGAAACAACTTAAACACAAATCTTCTGGGGAACAGATAAACAGAATTCTATACACTAGGATATGATTTGGCTGTAAAAACGAATCGAATAATGAGACATGCTGCAACATAGGTGAATCTTGAAGATATTATGGTAAGTGAAAGAAGTCAATCATAAAAGACCACATGTTGATTCCATTTGTATGAAATGTCTAGAACAGGCAAATGTAGGGGCGCCTGGGTGGCTCAGTTGGTTAAGTGTCTGACTTCAGCTCAGGTCATGATCTCACGGTTCATGGGTTTGAGTCTCGCATCGGGCTCTGTGCTGACAGCTAGCTCAGAGCCTATAGCCTGTTTCAGATTCTGTATCTCCCTTTCTCTCTGACCCTCCCCTGCTCATGCTCTCTCTCTCTCTCAGAAATAAATAAAACATTTAAAATTTTTTTAAAAATAGGCAAATCTATAGAGGCAAAAGTTTGACTGGCAGATCCTAAACAAGGGGGTGAGGGAAGAAGCAGTGGGGGAGTGGGCAAAGTTTGCTTATGGGTATGTAGTCTCTCTTTGGGATGATCGCAATGTTCTGGAATTAGATAGTGGTAATGATCACAAGATAGTGTGCATATACCAAAACAAAACAAAACAAAACAAAACAAAACAAAACAAAACAAAACACACTGAGTTTTAACTTTAAAATGGTGACTCTTATGGTATATGAATTATATCCCAATAAATTTTGAAAGGAAAAGAAATTAAACTATAAATATTTTAACTTCAGTGTCTATTCTAAAGAGCTAACCTACTTCCATTTCCTTTTCTTCAATTTCAGCTGAAACATCTTCTGTCAGGAGGTGTCTGGCTCAGGAAGACCTAGACTGGGTTGGGGCCCTCCGCCAAGCTTTTCCTGACCCCTCTACTTCCACCGTCATGATGCTCACCATACTTGATTGCAGCACTGTTTGTTGAAACAGGCAACCAGTTGTTGTAACTGAGGTAAGGACTGGGTCTTCCCTGCTTACTGTCATTTCACTATAATCAAACACATCTGTGCTTTTGAGTGGATAAAGCAAAATTATCAGTGATAGCCGAAATGAGAGTTGGATACGAGCAAAAGGAAACATATCAATGATAACAACAAGCACTTGTCTTAACTTGACTCTGCTTCTTTCTTTCAAATTTCAAACTGATTTTATTTGCCTTATGTTATTTCTCCTAATTCAGAATTGCCTCTTAATTTCACCGGGGCAATAATTTAAAGATATCTGTAGTTATTGCAAATACAAGTAAGAGTACCTAACAAGAATTAAGTTAATATTTGTTTTCATTTAAATCATGTATGTTTCCTTTAATACAAAGCCCTGGTATGAAATCCGGAAATCAAATAGATTTAATGAAAAACAACCAAAAGCGAAGTAAAAGATCTCTTCTACACACCTGGCTGTTAAAAACTGGGGAGGGACAGTGGTTGTCTACTCAATCTAGCCCCGGTTTCCCTTCAACTTTGCTTTGCACACAAGCCCTTTGTTTATCTTGAGGGCCTTGGCAGGTTTCCCTTCCCTTGGGACCACTCTAGAGATGGGAACTTGGAATAATTAGTTCACACTAGAACAAAACTACCTATTTCCTACCACTAATAGCCTCTGATTCTGTCCCATCTCATGGTCTTTGACCAGCACTTTGTTTTCTAAGCCTTACACTGAGCATCACCCAGAGCTCTGCATTTATTGCAACTGACTACTATTTGATATTAATAGTCCGTTAATTATTAATAGGCCTTACCAAGGCCTCTGATATGCTTGAGTAACTGTTATACATGTTTATCTCTACATGCAGCCCTTCTTTTCTGTGACAATGTGCAACTATGATCACAGGGCAACTTACACTTTTTTCTTAGGTGTTAGTAACATGAGTACACCTCTGTGGACCTTCTATGCAATCATGTGTTTCATTATTAGCCACTTTTGTGTATTTTTCCCACAGTATTCTTGAGAAAAAATCTTTTCAATTTCCCTCCTTGATACATCACCATCCCCTGAGACATCTGAATAAATTCAGTTATCACATTCCTTTTCTTGGGTCTTATTGTTTTGCACTGAAGGCAGTCTGGTGTCCTTACTGTGATCTGTTTCTTATAAATGTCTGTTGTTAATTACTTGGATTATACTTTACAACAGAATGACATATAACTTTATCGTTGATTCCAATATTTTATTCAACTCAAAATAAAGCGACTTAACAGAAACTAAGAACAACTGCTGCTGTCGAAAGTCACAAGTATCGTTTTTGCTGGTGCTAATGCAGGAAGAGATAAGCCTACCATTTACACCCACATACTTCTGTGCTTATGTTTTTGTTTTTGTTTCTTTTGTTTTTGTCTTGAACACAGAACTATCATCTTCTTGAAAAGTCACAACTGACCTCTTCTTTTCAGGAATAAGATCAGTGGGGGAGTGTTCAAAACACTTGCTGGCAGCATTTTGTTTTCTGTAAGTCAAGCAGTTCACTGCTATCGCAAAAATAAAAAGTTAAATATACAATGTTATCATTTAGGTTAAATGGAAGCTAAGAAAGAAATAGGAGTATTCTAATCACTTTTGAGTTGATACATTAACTTTTTTAGGCATGAAGATAAATAATAATAGCACACATATTGTAAAAGGGAGAAGGGAGTCGGGGCTACCCTCTATTGTATTTTGGCTCCCCACTCATCTAGACACAGAGTTTGCACAACTCTGGACAGTGCAAATATCTGAAAAGTGTGTGTGTGTGTGTGTGTGTGTTTCCAATTAATTTCTTTCTTTTTTTATCACTTAGTTACTTTTTAATTTTATTAACAATTTTATTTTTAAATTGCAAAATTTTATTTAAAATAATGCAAAAATCTTACAGAAAACACAATACAGGAGGAGGAAAGTTTATAATCCTTTATTACCAACAAAAAAATTTTTGAATTTATTTCTTAACAAGTCCTTTCTTATAATTGTAATTGTAGTATATACACTATTTTATATTCTGTTTTATTATGATCCTGAGCACTTTCCACCCTTCATTATTTTCACTTTCAGTGGCTGCATGGTAGTCGATAAAGTGGATGCATCATTTCCTTATTATTGGATAGTTAGGTCCGCATTTTAGTGGTTCCTCAATGGTGACTTTTTACTTTGTTTTGTTTCAATTACTTTTCATTCTAGGGGAGGGGAGACCAAACTACCCTAGAGCTGTGTTAGGTGGTAGAAAGACCCAATAATGTTGAATAATACACAGATAAATTTTAATTGTGGCCCTCTAATTAATGATTGTGGACTTTGGGCATTTTGGGTACCATTTTAAACTTTGGTTTCCTCAGAATAAAGTTTTGAATAATACTTCCCAATCTTGAAAATTGTCATGAGGCTCAATTGTACTAAGATGCTCTAAGTAAGAATTGGTTAGCCCACAGATAGCTAGAGTGAAGTTTCTTTATTTCTCTTGCTTTTTCTCCTCTTTTTCCACCATTTCATTCCTTATCCAACCCTTTATATTTGGGATAAAATGTTTGTATCAACTGGATGCCTCCATTTTATTCCAAATTTGTTATTCTGGATTGATGTAATACTATCATTATATTCACTCCATTTTGAGTATGTGATGTCCTGTACCAAACAGGGTTTAATATAATTCCACACATATCGTCTTCTCCTGAATCCAAGTAAAGATCTCTTGTGATCTGATTTTACTCATGTATAAAAATAAAATTGCCCCTTAAGCCAGCCCCAGCAAAGATTCACTCTCACATAGATTCTCAGTGATGATGGATATAACTTTCCTTCTCTAATCTGAGCTGTCTCTAAACCAGAGCAAGAGAAAGCTATAGATATCCTTTTTTCTTTCTTGAAAGAGTGTTAATAAACTTAGTCATTACTCACTTATTTCTCAATTCAGAATTCAGGAAAACTATTTCATGCTTTTATGTTTTAACTCTTGCTTGTTGTGAAGCCTTTCTTAGGTAGCTCAAAGTGAATTGAAATTAGCTTCATTTCCTCACTTGCAAAATGACAAAAATATCACCTAATCCTTTGGGTTATTGTGAAGATAAAATAAGATGATGAACTGGAACATTTTTCAGTGACTAGAAAGTACTAAAGTTTAATAGTGTTTATGATTATTATAAATTATTATTAATTTTACTATAAGACCTTACTTTAGGCCAAAGAGGCCAGAATCAAGTATAAAACTTGAAAATATTCTGGCTGGGGTTTTACATAGAAACTAGAGCTGCAATAAACCACAGTGGCACATTAAACTTCAGGGTCACAATAAATTGGTAGTTTTAATAAATATATATACACTTACTGAGATAGAAATGACTGCATTTATATATCTTTTTTTCCAAGGAACTTCATGTTCTCTACAGACTTTATCTCATTAATTCCTTCAGCATTTCTAGTGAGATGATATGCAGGATTATGACACATAAAATTCACTTACACAGACTTTATAAATGGTTAACATTAAAATATTTGAAAAAATAAATTTGTGGTCACTGAAAAGGAAAGGAAAAAAGAAAGAAGAGAAAGAAGAAAAGGAAGAAAAAAACAGAAGAAAAAGGGTAGCCTAGTAACAGGAGTCATGCTTGACATTTTCCTCTCAAATTAAGGTTGAGTTCTAAATCCTACATGTGACTTAATCATAAATCATACTTCTCCAACTATCCATTGCTGGTTTACTACAATCCAATAACTGCCACAGCAGTGACAGGAGCTGTCTGACACTCGGGTAAGCTGTTAGGAAGGGCACTCTCGGTCCTCTTCCCAGGGAGGCAGTGAGAGGAGC